CGCCCTTTCCAGGCGCGCCCTGCAGCTTCACGGAACCCAGAAAGCCGGGCTCGAGGGCTGCTTCGGCCAGGCTGTGTTGGGGATCGCTTCCCCAACCTCCCGGAAATTACAAATTCCTCTGTGATCAGTCCGCCCGCCCCCCGCTACGCTAGCTGGGGCTCTGGAGAGGGCGGGAGCCGAGCAGAGAACTTTTTCCGCCCGGCTTACCCCTTCGCGGGGTCCTGAGAGCGGCAGCGGAGGGTGCCCCAGAGCGCCGGCCTCCTGCAGCCCGCCGCTCCTGGAGGGTTAAAAGTTAGCAGAGATGGGTGGGAAGATAGCAGCTGGGTTGAGGTTATTCGACAGAAAACATCCTTTCTGGTCTTTAATTTGAACTTCGATCTTACCCTCCCCCCACCCCCAGCGAAGGCTCTTTCACAAGTGAAGGTGGCCAAATCGTTATGATTTTAGAAGCCACTTGGTGTAGAGGAAGATGGATAGTTCCATAGTTACAAAACAATCGAGTAATAATTAAATATACTTTGTGAATACACACTTCCACAACCAGCCTAGGTCACAAGGCAGGGTGAAATAGCGAAGGTAAGGCAAACAGGGAACTTTACACCCACATGCAAAAAAATTAAAATAAATTTAAAATTTTCATTTTTCTAAGATCCCTCCAGTCAATTTTTTTATTCAAGCCACCTGAGAGTACCCACCCATCTTTTGCACCTTGCTGTTACAGGATTGTTTTAAATCATAGTAATTTGCTTGCAGAGACCTTGACTGCAAGGAAGTTGTTTTGAAGCTTCAACCCTGCTATGGTAAGCTGGCTTCAGAGAGGTTTTCTTAAAAGGGGAAGAAAAGGATTTAGAAAGATGAAGTTTTCACCCGTTGTAACTAAACATTCTTGCATGATCTCCCCTAATCTTCAAAACAACTGAAAATTAGTTAGAACTACTTTATGCCAGTTTTACACCTACAGCAGCAGTTGTACAGGAGGTAGCAAGGCTGGGACCATTCTGCTGTGGCTTCTACTGCTTCGAAGGCTTTAACATAACCCTTATGATTTTTGCGCTTGGTCCGTGGTCAGCCATGCTCTTTTGTGATCTGGTGAGAGAGAGATAGCCCCGAGATGACCAGAAGGGGAGAAGAATTGGCTCATCCTTCTACCCCAGGCAGAAATGGGCTTGCAAACCTGCTCTGCCTTCCTTGAGGCTTACTCACACCTCCAGCTTGCAAAACACTCCTGTTACTCCAAGTGATTCACAACTCCAGAAGGAACAGCCCATTTTATAGGTCTTGCATTAAAGGCTTTTTCCCAGCCACGCAGCTACTGAGTGAAACTCAGCTGGTTCCTCCTGTGTGTGCCATGCACATTAACCCATTATAAGGGAATAGGACAATTTATGAAAGATTTTTTCTTACTTCATTATTTCATTTTTCAAATATGTCACATCAACACAATCCTTCTTAAATACTCCAATTTAAGAGTATAATGTGTAGGTTAAAGAAGTTAAATAACTTGTCTTATTGAAGATACAAAGGGGGAAATAATCTTATCCAGAACAAATTATTTAAAGTCTCTGAATACTTTGAAGAAAAATTCATTTAAAATGCTTCGTGATCCACCACATCACAAACACGATTTCTTGATGCTACTTTTAAGCTCCAAACGACTGAATTAATTTTTATATTTGTCAGCATCCCATTAGAACCAGCTTTAATAAAAAGGTATGATTGGGGGCAGGGAATGAAACTCAGTGGTACAGCTCCTGACAGCATTAGGCACTGAGTTGGATGGTGAGGTATGACTGAATAAGCAGAAGCACTACATTTAAGCAACAGAAGGCAAAAAAAATAAAGAAGGAAGGAAGGAAGAATTGGCATGCTGTTTCCTAAGTGGAGCATAATAATATTTCTAAATTTCTCTGATAGAATTTTTTAATAAAATTATGAGTTTAAAATTTGGCTTGTGAGGGGCTGGGGTTATGGCTCAGCGGTAGAGCACTCACCTTGCATGTGTGAGGCCCTGGGTTTGATCCTCAGCACCACATAAAAATAAATAAAATAAATGTATGTATATATATATATATATATATATATATATATAAAGAATATACTCTTTAAAAATTTTTGGCTTATGAAAATGATATTTGTAAAAATTCAAAATGTCATATGAAGCAACCAGACATTTTTAACATTTAAAGTTGAGGGAAGGGGTGGAATAAATAAAATGTATGCAGTCAAGTCAGTTGAAAGGACTTATTGTCAGACACAGAATTGAATTTGAAATTGAACTCTATCGGGGCTGGGGATGTGGCTCAAGCGGTAGCGCGCTCACCTGGTATGCGTGCGACCCGGGTTCGATCCTCAGCACCACATACCAACAAAGATGTTGTGTCCGCCGAGAACTGAAAAATAAATATTAAAAATTCTCTCTCTCTCCTCTCTCACTCTCTCTTTAAAAAAAAAAAAAAAAAAAAAAAAAATTGAACTCTATCACCATAAATTTCCCAGCAATACTAGAGTCTATTGATTTAGATTTATAGTCTCGTATTCTTTTATTTCTATGATAAATCAGGGAATATATTTAAAGCTTTCTGAATGTATACAAACATTATAAACAAATGTTTTTATCATTTTAATTATCCCACACATCAAATAATTTCCTTTAAATTATTGTAAAAGGGAAGACTTACTTAAAGTTTTGTTGTTGGTGGTGGTGTTTTGGTGAGGGGGGAAGGGTGGAGTAGCATGCTGACAATCAAAAGCAGAGCCTAGCACAGTTTAGGCAAGCATAAAGTTTTGACCCTTCTTTCTCACCAGTTAAACCATCATGAGAAAAAAAATAATTCTATACATATGGTTATCAACCAAAAAGCTTCAATCACATTCAGATTCCTTAAGTATTATATAAGTCCACAAGGGGCTGGGGTTGTAGCTCAGTGGTAGAGTGCTTGTTTAGCATGTGTGAGGCACTGGGTTCAATCCTCAGCATCACATAAAAATAAATAAAACAAAGGTATTGTGTCCATCTACAATTTTAAACAAATTTTTAAAGGAACACAAATGATAAATATAGAAAAAAATTAATAACACCTCATCATTTAGCTACACATATTTAGAAGTAAAATTTTTCTTCTGTTAATTTGTCCTAATAAAGATAATACAACATCACAAAGGAAAGGATTTTTATATTCTACGATGTAAAAAAAGTCAAATATTTACAGCTGGGTGCAGTGACACATACCTATAATCCCAGTGGCTTAGGAGGCTGAGGCAAGAGAATCGCAAGCTCAAAGCCAGCCTTGCAAAAGCAAGGCTCTAAGCAACTCAGTGAGACCCTGTCTGTAAATAAAATACAAAATAGGGCTGGGGATGTGGCTCAGTGGTTGAGAGCCCAAGTTCAGTCCCTGGTACCCTCCCCAAAATTAAATATTGTTAACACACACAGATACAAAAAAATTAAATATTGTTAACATACACATACATACAATATTAAGAAGTAAGGAAAAAACTGGAGGAAGTGTTTGTAACATAAAAAACAGGTGTGATATATTTTTAAAAATAAAGAACTTACGGCTGGGGTTGTAGTTTAGTGGTAGAGCACTTGCCTAGAATGTGTGAAGCACTAGGTTTGATTCTCAGCACCACATACAAATAAGTAAATGTGTATTGACAACTAAAAAAATTATAAATAAAGAACTTAGATAACACAGTAAAAATGTTGAACATCTTTAATGAATAAAGCAAAGGATAGAACAAGTTGTTGATAAAAAGAAAAAATAGGGCTGGGGTTGTGGCTCAGTGTAGAGCACTTGCCTCACATGTGTGAGACACTGGGTTCCATCCTCAGTATAAAATATATATATATTAAAAAAAAAAAGAAAGAAAGAAAAATATAAAGCCCAGTAGTGGTACACATCTATAATCCCAGCTACTTGAAGGCAGAGGTATAAGAATCCTGAGTTTGAAGACAGCTTGAGCAACATAACAAGATCTTATCTCAATTTTTTTTAAAAAGTGCATAAATAAATATATATGCACATACATAAACAGCTCATCAATCATTTATATATTAAAACATTCACTCAGGAGCTGGGGATGTAGCTCAGTTGGTAGAGTATTTGTCTCACATGTACTACAAGGTCTTGGGTTCAATCCCTAGCACTACCAAAAAAAAAAAAATCTTGTTCTAATGGGGTTGGAGAGAGGCAGGCAAAGAACAAAGTAATTATATAGTATGTTAGGAAGTATAACTTTAATAGAAATCATGAAGAAAAGATGAATGTTTTTACATAGACTGAACACTAAAGGTCTCACTGAGGAGGTCAGTTCAAGAAAAGAGGAAGGGAGGGAGCTGGTCATTTCCTATTTTTAGCAAATGCATTTCAGGCAGAGAAAACAGAAAGTGGGGTCCTGAGGCAGAAATGCCCTTTGGCATACTCAAAAGAAAGGAAGCCAGTGTTTCTTAAGTGGGCAAATGGAGGGAGTAGTAGCAATTTTTTTTTTTTTTTTTTTTAGTTGTAGGTGGACACAATACCTTTATTTTATTTATTTATTTTTATGTGGAGCTGAGGATCAAACCTAGGGCCTCACAGATGCTAGGTGAGTGCTCTACTGCTGAGCCACAACTCCAGCCCAGCAGTAGGAATATTTAAAGGTAACAGGGACAATGCCTTGAAAGTAAAAGTATAGACCTTACTTTGGGTTCTT